TACTCATTTGTACATTTAGCCAGAGCTGTTCCTTTTATATCACACAAGTAGAGTTTGTTGTTTGAGTGGTGTAGCACTCATTATGGGTGACTAGTTCTTTGAGCTACATGCTTAAGCATGTGTAGTTGAGGTCAGCATTCCTATCTGATGATAGTAAATGCCTTTGACTTTCTTTGTGTTGTGACGATAGACAACATAGTAGTTAACATTCATCATGTTAGTAATAGTTGTGTACACAGTTGAAGCCTTCAGTTTTATTTTTTTAAGAAATCATATCATAAAATGTTTTGGGGAACAAAAAACGCAATGTTTGGAGATATTTGTCTTCTAAAGTATAATTTTTTGGTTACAGTTCAGATAGAAACATCACTAATGAAATCATTAGTAGTTATGTCAGGAAAGCTTGAAAATGAGTTGTTTTTCAGGTCTTGCATTGTTAGAAAGTGTTTACATTTTATTCTGAGAGCTAATATTAATATTCTCTAATATGAGGTAAAATTAAAATTTAAATGTTTAGTAGAAATACATTTTAGATACTTTCTTCCTTTGTATTACATTTTCTAATAGCTTTATTATATATGAGAAACAAGTGAATTCTGACATCATTTTAATTATTGGCAATGTGTCTAGTAGCTTTAGTATTGCATTTTAAAAGAAAAGCAGACTGGCCACTGGGTTTAACATGTAATGAACAGTTTAGTACAAAATAAAATAAGAGCTTTTTTTGCATTGTGCCATAGGAATTAGAGACTCCATAGATGTGTCACGTGCCTGCTTTTGATGTGTTAAACAGGGCTTTAAGAGACTACGTGACCTCAGGTATGCATTATTCGACCCTGTTAAAAAGTCAGAATTTTCATTTTAGCATTAGTGATTCACTTTAATTTTGTTTTTCTCACCTTCCCTTCATCCTTTTCTTTTTCCCTCTCTGTTTCTTGTATTTCATTATAGTATCAATCATATTCTATCAAGGTCCAAATCCAGGGAGAGGATCCTTTTTTGTGTGTGCCTGCACACATAATGAATGACTTTTGTGTTCCCCAGAGCTTCTGGAATTATGGCAGCTAAGTGATTGTCATTACGTGACTTCTTTTGTTTTTGGAATGGAGAGTGGCATGAGAAGAGCTATCTCCTTATTTTTTCTGCTCTGAAGTTACTTTATTATACTTGCCATTTATATTAGCAGAACTAAAAATACGGGTAAGTAGTTTCCTTAGAATTTAAAGTTCAGACTCAAAGATTCTAAGAAACGAAAGTAGAAGAGGCATAGTGAAACTAAGAAATAGCTGTAGAACAGATAACTATGTATAACTGTATTTAGAGAGTTTTAAGAGGAGACTTATGAATATTGCATAATGCACCTTGCTGAAAATGTTTTCATTTCACTTTGATCAATTAATTCAACTTACAAGAAAGTAGCAATAATGCAATGTTGCCAAAAATGGCAGTAATAATTTATGTCCATCACAAGGTTGTTGGAAGCACTGGAAAATTAGAAACAACCTAAATGTATACATTTATACTTTTCTTTCTTTTCCCAAAGCTTCTACTGTAGACCTGTCAGTATAATATATTTGAGTATGTTTTCTTAGATGCCTTTTAAATGAATATTAGCAATAAACATTAGTGCAAAAAAAAAAGTCCCTGAATACCTGCTGGGAGTGCTTCTTTTGATTTTTGTTCTTGGTCAAATCTTTAATACTCCATTTCTGCCCTCACACATTGTCACCAACCACCTTGGCCATAAGTATTACTGCAGGAAGAAAGGTCAAGCTGAAGGAAACTGCTAGTGCTTGTAGAAATAAGATAGGGATCTAGGAATATAAGAAAATTTTTAAAAGAGAGATGTGCGTGGGGTGGGTTCTTCAGTTATTTTGGGTGACTAACTAGATTTTTTTATTTGTTTTTGATAAACATGTATTTTCAAAGGATAACTTTATTCTACCAATCACTTTTGGCTAAAAGTTGTTTTTAAAAATTAATTTTATCTTTATTATTGTTCCAAATTCACCAGATCTATAGTTCATCTTGCTGTTGAAATTAAATTGTTTAAATGTCACTTGCAACTCAGATTTAATTTTCCTTCTTATGTACGTTGAAAGTCTGCCTTTTGTTGTTTTGGCCTAATTGTGGCTTTTTTTCCATCAGCAGTAGTGAAAGCAGTCAATAAAAGTCCATGGCTGACTCTATGATTATACAGAGGGTTTACCATAATGTGTATTGGAAATGTCTTTGAAATCCTTCTCTTGAATGGAAGGTGCCACAGCTTGTGCTTTATGGCCTTCTAATGTTAGACAGTAATCTCATTTACCATTTTCCCCAAGTGAAAAGCGTGCATTAGGGCAGCATAACAAGCATTGTAGATCAATACAAAGGTAGGGCTTTACCCTTGCAGATTAATCCTAGAAAAATGTACCAGAGTCTCCTCCAGGAACTGGGAAACAATTATGTGGATTATGCTCTGCCCCTCCCCTTTCCTTCCATCTAATCATCAATAAACTTGAAATCTGTACAAAAAGGGTTTCAGATGATAGCTGTGCACACTTGAGCACACACACACACACACATCAAGAACAGACAACCACACAGGAAATCAGTCCCCTGGAAGCAAATAGAAATATTGATTTGTGGTGATAAAAGTATATTTTGACACATTTCAAGTCATATAAAACCCATGTACTTTAACTTGCATGACTAATAGCTCAGCTCAAAATAAATGCTTAAGTACTACTTGCATTACCTTTTTCTCTACAACTTATATTATCTCTTATACCTTCCATTACCTCTTTCTAAGGAGTCCATGCTGCGGTATAGATTATCCCATTGCAAAATAGTCTTTGTAGGAGAAAAACAGTGTGTGTGTGTGTGTGTGTGTGTGTGTGTGTGTGTGTGTGTGTGTGTGTATACATACATATTCATATATATCTTCTTTTTTATGTGTAGATCCTCACTTTACTGCTGCTGCTTCTTGTATGTTACTGAGGAGGGCCATATATTTGGTGAGGGCTGTTCTAGTCTTTCTTTCTCCTATCCCACCCCCTTTAAAGCTAAGATTCATTGCAGACAAGGTCAGTTGTCAACACTAGGATAGAATGTGGCTCTCTTTTCCTTTAAACTATTAAAGTCATTAGTCATAGCTTTGCTACATTCAGTTGACCTGATGCTTAGTCGTATTATATTGATGTTTATGATAGGGGATTAGGGAAGTCTGTCCAGAAATATTTACAGACATCTAAACTTTGAAATCTTAAAAAGAATTGAAACTCCCAAGATTGGATTTAAATTCTGTTCTTAGGTATTTGACAAGGCAGTGAAGTAATGAATGAAAGAACAAAAGTAATATTATGTAAAATTTGTGGAATTCCCTCCCCTCCCCATGTCTGTTTCCTTTAGAGCAAACTAGAAAGTAAATTCCCTCGAGTATCAGTAACATGGTTTGCATTTCTATTCCAGCAAAATATAGATTAGCTTAGTATGTTGGATAAAAATCATGAAGAGACAAATTGTCACCCAGGGGTTTCATATTGATGGGAAATATTCTCCATGTTCTCTAGGGTTTTTTTTAGAACCCATTAAATTTAAAATAATGCTATTTCAAGATTATATGGAAATAACAGATTTAAAATTCAGAGGCAGAACTGATAAGAAAGTCTCGAAGCATTTTGTGTTAAGCAAAACTAATTTGAAAAAATATGAATTCCTAGATTTAAAGTGATAACTTTTATGTATTTTCTTTTTGTGTTTAGTCCTTATAATCCAAGTTTCCCTACCATATTATCAAGAATCTTTTATTTTCATATATATAATTCATTTTGGTTATTTTGTCATTTATACATTTAGTATAGCATATTAACGGATTAGTCTAAAATTGGAGATTTTTAAATATAATTATAGAACTTTAACCCAGGGAATTTTATTGTGTTTTCCTTTTACCTATTTGTATTCATTCAGCAGATTTATTGCATGATTTCTAAAGAGATACCCATGTCTGATAGCCTGCAATGGAAAGAAAATAAAACACAATGCATTCTAGTAAATATAGGCTAAAGTGCACTAGATTGTACTGTAGTCAGTCTCCTGCGTGTGATGGGGGACATTAATACAGGACTAGAAGATCACCCTAAAAGGAATGATAGACTTGACTGGGACGGGGGTGGGGACAGTGAAAACTGCAGTAGGTTACACTTGAGCTAAGTATTGAAAGTAAATAAGTGTTTTCTTGATATTTAGGTGTGGGTGGAGTTTGGGGGCAGAATATCTCCAAAATCAAGAGCAACATGAGCACAGATGTGAGGAGAGATGTGTGAGCTGATTCTGACTGTGACATGTGTAGGCTGCAGCAGTGTTCAGGCTAGAATGGAGGCTAAAGGGAAGGCAGGAACCTGATTAGGAAGAAATGTGCCTATTGCCCTGTATTCTGTTTAAGAAGCAGTATGAAAGGTAGTGGTTTGGATTTATGTAGTAGAAAGAACCCTCTGGAAGACATGTGGAACAGGAGTAAAGGGTGAAAGCCAAGAGACAGAGACCAGTTTGGAGGTTTTCACTTGAATGCAGGACAAAAGTAACTTGGAATTAGTGATTAAAGAGGAGGAGGAACAAACCGTGGGCATCTCCAGCATTGTGACCTGCCAGATGTGGGAATGGGAGAGAAGGGGAGAGAGAAGTCAGGGCTCTCTGATTTCTGCCCTAGGGCTCCAGGATGCAAAGCCTGACACCATGCATAGGGTTTGGATTTTGGTTTAGCAAAGGAGGTTATAGTATCCAGGGTAATATATAATAGTATCAGTTAGTGGGGCTTATTTCCTAAAATTTATTTACTCTACACATTTTTTATCATGGGAAAAATTTTGTATATATTTCTTTAATATGTGAAGAAATTTGTTTCATTAAATATTTTCTTGAATTTGTAGTACTTTTATTTAACATTTTATATATTCTCCTTGGCATTTCTATTCTGAATGAAGACCATTTGTCTCAGCAGACCCTATTTTTGTTTTCAGGCGGTATGAGTATCATCCAGTCTGTGCTGATTTGCAGGCCAGAATCCTCCAGTGTTACCGTGAGAACACCCACCAGACCCTCAGCTGCTCCGCCCTGGCTAACCAGTACATGCACTGTGTCAATCATGCGAAACAGGTGAGTGTGTGAGCTGAGCTACCTGGGGCACCAGAAGAGTAGAGATAGAAAGCCCAGTACTCTGGGGCAGGTGTAAGGATTTGTATGTGTAGAGAAGCCTTATAAAGTCAGCACCCTCCTCAGTAAGAATTACTATAATGAGTTGGTTACTTCTTAATGTCCATCCAGATCACTGTAAGAGAGTCTGGATTCTTCTTTTTTCAACACATTCACTTATAGAGGAGAACCTTCTGTTAAAATTATACTTTTATAATTTGCTCTGAACCTTTTATCTGCTAGTAATTGTATCCCCAAGGTCATTTCCTTATATTCCTAGACCAGAATTCAAAACCAGCAAAAGGGAAGGATCTAAATTAAGTGTCAAGCAGCTCTGGGGTCATAAGCAGTAGATAGTTCCTAGTCAGTCCTTCTAGCAGTTTGGTAGAAACTGCACAGTTGAGCTGGGAAAAGAGATGAGAGGTAGAATTTTTTAAAGAATTTCCCTTGTTTTCATATATGTCTTTTGACCATTCAAATCAGAACAATATAATATTCATAGAACATGTGTTTTATCTTATTTATGTACTGTAGAAAGCTAATGATAACCTTAAAGCCAATTAACAGTTCTAACAGGTTTAATTGCCTGTTATTTAACTACTTAAACTATTGGGTGGAGGTGGTTCTGAGAAACAGAAATTGTTAGAAACTATGGTTCTTTCTGCTGACAAACTCCCTAGAGTTGACCTTCTAACCCAACTGAATCTAGTGTTTGAGTTACACAGCATGTCTTTCTGTAGTCCAGTTCACTATAGTTATAATAATGCTACTTCCTGCAAATTTCTCACACTCAATAAATATCTGATGAGAGAGTTGATATTGTTGGATAGCTGGAAAACAGCAGTAACACTAGTGGAAAACATATCCTTAAGATTAAAAGCTGTCTTGTCTTTAAAACCCTGGTGGCTTCTAGCTTTTTTCTGTCTCTTGATTGTAGCAGCACTTGGATAACTCATGAGTATATGCCAAAGATTTTTTTCTTTAAAGGTCTTTGGGAGATGCTGTGTTGCTAATGTTAAATTAGAACATTTTATTTATCGAAAATAGCTTCTGACATGCCCTTAACTAGGCTCAAACCTTCAATACCAGTGCTATCTGAAACATTTGGTTCTTTCAGATTGACATGAGTTTTTCTAAATTGATAATAGTGCCTTATTGACTACTCTACAGGGTAGTCGGTGGAAAGAATGGCTGTGACAAAGTGCTTGTTTCACCACTGGTATCGCATATACATGCCTCTTTCCACAGTGCATGTGTGACATTGCTGAAAGGACAACTGCAGAGGCATTTGGAGCACTGACTCCAACCTAGGTTGTGTTGAATCATCTACACCTAGTCCCATGAGATGAATGGTACATGTTTAGGGAATATAACAAAATTAGTGTGTGACAAATACAAATATGCCACAATAGAATTAGAACCTGGCAGATCTGAATTATATCCAAACCCTGTCTTTTACTAGTTCTGAGACCTTGAGACTTGATTGCTTGTGAATTGGGGTAATCTTGTGAGTATTACATTTATACAAAGTACTAATAAATCTTACTTTTCCCTTTCCTCATTTGTATTATTTCGTAGTGAAACAAGGCAGATCATTCCGAAGCATTGCATTAGTACTAATAATTCCAAAAGAGACCCTCTGTCTTCCTTCGTACTCTTCAGTCTGCTGTATCATTTAGTATTATTTATATCTAGTACGTTTGTTTCCACAGCTTTTATATTCAGTTACTAGGAAGCTATAAGGTAATAGTAAAAAGATAGAAGTTCACAAAACATTTATTCTAAGGTGGGCGGCATTGAAACAGAAAAAAAACCAAGAAACACCACCACTTACATTTCTGCAGTACTTAACATTTCAAGGTCATTTCACATCTGTTCTTTTTTTTATGACAACTTGAGACGTAAATAGAGATGGTTTTATTTCACCATTTTATAGTTGAGAGCACTGAAACCAGGGAAGTCATGATGGTAAATTTAACAACTAGACCAAATGTACCTTGCCATAAAAACAAAACAAAACTTTTGTTTTGCTTTTATAATAAAGTGGTATTTGGTTTTTGAACAAGAACAGAATCAAATTTAATGGTTAGGTTCAGTGTTGACCTTATGGGAAAGTTTGATTTATTTCTCGTCCAGTGCAGTTTGCACCCAGAATCATGAAAAGAATTAAATTCGTGAACCGAGGTACCACTGAGCTGCTTTTCCTGTGATATTAGTTTGACCTTTTGCTCCTTGTGAAGTTTGTCCAATCTCACAACCCCGTTCTGCCCCTTTGTTAGTAGAGATGTTGGCAGTATGTGTAATCTTTACTGTTGCAGCATTTCCCGATAGGCTACGTTAGATCCAGAGTACAGACCAGACATGTCCACATGACAACAACCCATTAGGTCTCGTTGTCCATTTCCTACATATACAGAGTTTCCCCTATGGAATAATTCCAGGAGCCAAATCACTCCACTTTTAAATTACTCATAAGCCTGGGCTTTCATAAGTTCCCTTGGGCACTGTTGTAGAGACTAATAGATTTTACTGGTAGGAAATTTTCCGGATGTTCCTTAGCTTTACTTTTCTTTTCTTCTTAGTCATCTACTTATTCACATCAATCTTAAGCTATTCTTAAACAATTTGTCATGGATTGACATGAGACATTTTGACTATTATTTCTAGTATATTAAGTTATGTGTTCTTCATCAGGATAAAGGATATTAAATTGCTTTAATTATCATTTCTAAAACTTAAAAGCTACTGGATAGCTGTATGAGATACAGCATTTAGAAATGAAGAGCAGCAATTGACAGACTTCTGTGTCTCTTTTATCTCATATCTTCTTAGCCTCATAATTCTCTTAGTTCCCCAAGACTGAATTACTTCTTCTTACCCTTCAAGCCTGGTTCTTGTTCCATCTCACTACACTCGCCTTACATGGGACCGTGGAAAGAAAGGAGCAAGGAAAGCCTATAATATTTGTCAGTTAGTGAACCAAAATGTGCTCCAATGGACGGTATAGAGTGAGTTAGCTTCCAGATCTCTTATTGCTGCTCACTAGAAAATAGGGTTGTTGGGAAAAGCTTTTGCTGGCACCCTAATCTAATTATGGTGTCTAGAGTTTCAGTTTCTTTTTTGATGAACTGAGGGTTTGAAGTAGAGAACCCATGAGTGCCTTTCCGGAGCTGTGTTATTTTAGAACTGACTCTACTTTCAGGTGAGAGGAAGAGGTAGGGCATAAGCACATGTGTCCATGGGCACATTGAAGTATTGTGGCCCCTTCAATACAAGCAGCGTCCCTACATATGAGACCTCCAGATTTTTGTGAGTTTGCCTCTTACATTTTGCTGTTAACCTTAAACTTGTAAAGATAAGCTGCACTTGTGGTTGGTCTGTCTGCTGCCTGGCTTCCCACAGCAACATATCCTTCCCTTGAGTTCACACTCCTGACAGCCCTGGAGAAGACAAGACTGCAGAATAAACAGGGAGGTAATAGAGAGAGTCTGTCAGTTTCTCAACATCAGTAAAATGTAGAATATTTATCGCAGTGCTGCCTGTCAGAATGTAGATTTCTGGCTATTAAAGTGCATTAGAAAAATGCAGGTACCTTGGCCAGCCCAGGCTCATGCTGTACTGAGATGCCTCTTACCCTGTGAAGTATGGACCATGAGAGGTAAGGGATTTGGGAGATGGAGCAGGAAGCCAGGATCAAAAGAACCTATTGACACTATGAAATAGGAAGAAAAGGGCTAAAGGTGTAGGGAAAGTGGGAAGGGTAGGAAAAATGTAATGACGGAAAAAAATATATGAGAAAATGAAAAAATGGAAATAAAGTATTTGTAAATGGGGAGGGGAGGAGGAGGTAAAGGAAGGACAGGGACAAGGGGAAAAATGAGAACCAAGACCTGTCATGTAAAGGTACAAGATCCTAATGATGAATGTAACTGTACTGTATACCTAAAATGTAGCAATAAACTCAATGAGAGAGAAAAAAAAATAATAATAATAACAGAACCAAGGACATACTAGGACCAGAAGCAAGGGCTAGCCCAGGAGATTCCAAGAGGCAGTGCTGGGCCTGAAGTCTGATGATGGGCAGTGAAGAGTTCATAAATGATAGCAGAGTTTTATATCAGTGAGTAGGCAGTGGATCAACCCAAGCAGTCAACCCAGCTCAAGGAAGGACAGAACTAAGGACATTTTGTGAGTTGCCTCCCCACCCGACCCCAACACCTTGGATCTTTGCTTCCTGTTGACCTCCTTAGGGATATTAGAAAACAGCAACTCAGTTATATTAAAAAATGTGGAGTCAGACCTTGGTAAATGTGGCTAGATCTCAGTGTGACATTAATTCATCACAAGGCCAGTGGACCCACCCAGTCTTCTCATTTCTAAAATATAAATGGCATCTCAGTACATGGTTTACATATTGGTACATATGGAGGGATTTGCCCTGGCAAATTTCAGTCGTCCTTCTTAATGACAGTATATTTTATCTCCCCTATAAGTTGGATTTGTGTTTTACCAGGGCTCAGATATTTTCTTTATTATTTTGAGTGTGAAGAGGACCTGAAAACAGAGTAGTATCTAGAATAGGTTTCTGTTTTACGATTGTCTCTTCTGAACTCTGCATGACATGTAAATGATTTAATAGACCAGGCTGTGGGATCTGGAAGCACTTTACAGGTCATATAACCAGCATCAGTGATTTTCTTTGTACACTTAGCACCCAGAGTGTGACTCCTAGATGTGACATAGCCTGCTCTGGATTCTAAACCTGGGGTCTTTTTCTATAAAATCAGATCCTGAATATGGGTGCATGTCAGAATCACATGGATTTGGAGATGGGACTTGGACCCCTAAACTGTCATCACACTTCCTTGGAGACGCTGAGAAGCTTAACTATAGAGCCCATTGGCTGGGATTGCACTGGGATCTTTAGCCTTTCAGAAGCCCAGCTGTGTGTGTGTTCTTCCTCT